CGAATGTCCATTGGCTGACAAAGTCGATCTTTCAGTCTCCATTGTACCAGATTTTTGCTGTCATTTGTTGTCCAATTTGTTCTGTTCTCCTTCCTTTGCTATGGTACCAGATGTCCTATGTAGGCCTCAATGAGCTGCCATATCCTCCATGTGCTTCAGGGCCTGCCATCCACCGCTCTCTCTTTTCCACAGAGGAGGACCAGTTCTCTCAGGCAGGCCCACGAACTCAGGCCAGGCAACCCATGCACCAATGGACCCTCCACCTCCCGGGGCCCTTGGACGTGGCATCCACCACAAATGTGGGCCTAAGAACCCAGCCAGGCAGGCTGAGCCCCGCTGTACCACCATTCCTGGGGCTCACAGATCCGGCACCCACCATGCATGCAGACTGTTATGGCTCATCTCACCTGGGCATCCACCAGTGGGTGCTTCAACCTGGCTCGGTTCAGTCTGCCTACAGTTCCAGCTTCCACTGGTGGGTGCTGCAGCTTAGCCAGCTCCAGCCAACCCCTAGACCCAGATATAATGTGAACCAACTGGTGTTGCGGCCCAACCTGCTCCCCACCCCCCCACCCCCCCGATCTACCAGCGGATGTTATGAACTGGCCCAATCTAGCCCGCCCCCAGACCTGACCCACATGTATACCAGTGAGTACCGTAACCTGGCCTGGTCTGGGCTGCTTCTTGTCTTAGCTTTTGCGCTCACCTGCAGAAACTGCACCCTGACAAAGGAGTTCTCCAAGCTCCTTTATCAGGTCTCCTCCCCATAGCAGATAGATGTTGCACACACCAGTGGGTCCTTGGCCCAGACAGACTTTGTCCACCTTGTGTCCTGGTAGGAACAGTGTCCTTGCCTGACTGGCCCACACTCATTTTGGTTCTTACTGTTGCATGTAACAGCCCAGCCACATCTGGTCCATGCCCCAACACAGCTCTCATGTGGTTCAGCGGGAGCTGAAACTTAACCCAGCCTGTTCTACATCTACCCTGAGTCTCACGAGTACCAGTGGGTGCTGGAGTCTAGCCCAGTTGAGTGCTCCTCAGACCCACTCCAACACCCATTTTGAGGTATACTGCAGCCATACCCAGTTCAGTTTGCCATCCCCATTCTGGTTCTTGTGCTCACCAGTGGGAACCCCAACCCAGCTGAGGCATCCCTTAGCTCCACAACCAGGTCTGTTCTTAGCCACAGATCTTATACATGCTAATGGAGATTACAGTTTCACAAGTGTGAGCCCACATAACCTCCACTCAGATTCTTGCCCCCAGACCTGATTCTCCTACGTGCTGGTTGGTGTCATTGCCCAGCATCACCTGTCCCCAGTTCCGACTCTCACTGGTGGGTGCTGTGATCTAGCCTGCCATGTAGGCCCCCAGGCCTAGCTTTAGTGTGTTCCAGTGAGTGGTATCTGGTGATGGTTGATGCTAACTACTCCAACTCGGGTATCCCATGTGTGCTGGCACTTCAGTCTGACCCTTAAAGGTCCTTCTTGTCCTCCCTCCAAACCGCTTGGTTTCAGTTCCCCTGCAGGTACAGTGGTCATATCTATGGATGTTCCTCAGTAGTCATTCCTCACCTGGACATGAATCCTCAGGAACCCACTCACCCCACCTGGGTAAGCCCAGACCCTCTGTAAGCCCACATGCCCATCTCCACAGCAAGCTGCACGGTGGCCTGAGGGTGTCGCCTGGCATCACTGGTGCCTGGACCACCCAAGCTAGGTCCCTGGCCAGGCACAAGCTGGGCCACCCGTCGCCGATCTTGATGTATTTTGAAAACACAGTCTCAAAATATAGACCAAAAGCTGGGTTGGAATCACGACCTTAACTCTGCAGCATCTTCACAAACACCTACATTGATGTAAATACTTATGGAAAAGTCCAGGAAAATGCAGGCTAAATTAAAAATTGTGGTCATTTTTGGAGAGAAAGCAGAAAAGGGGCAGGATTAATTTCAAAACTTCATCATCCACAATATTTTTGTCTTGGTTTTCCCCAAAGAGGATGATTTCATTTCTTAAAATGTATTTATAAAGTTTTAAACATCTAACAAAAAAATCTATCTTGGGGTGAATGCAAGCAGTTTTCAAGATAACTAGATTTTGTTATTCAACCTAAATATCACATCAACTTTAATGTCCTTGAGATCAGATATTAATCTTTCCTCTTGGTCGGTCTCAACTGATGAAATCTCATTTCAGAGACGAGATGAAATGGTATTTCTGACTTTATCTACAACAATGGAAGGCATATTGGCAAGTGCGTTACACTCCAAGGCTTAAATGTCTTTCAGAGTTCAGAAACTTTAGCTCACATGACCATATTAGTTCAGATACTGAACTCAGATTTTTTCTTTTTGAAATGAATACTTCAAAAATCTCATATGTACTACTAACTAGGAAATAACAGATTAGGACATTCAGAGAAAGAGTCAACAGAAATATGTAAATGTGAATCTGTATATAAGGAGAGGGAGGAGACAGGTTCGTGTCCCAGCTGGGACACAAGGGAAAAGGAGAGTGGGAGGAGGGTTACTGGAAGGGCAGATTTACGTGGAGGAGAAAGGAATCTTCCATCTGCTGATTCACTCCTCAAGTGGCTGCAATGGCCAGAGCTGAGCTGATCTGAAGCCAGGAGTCTCCTCCTGGTCTTCCACAGGGGTGCAGGGCCCCAAGGCTTTGGGCCATCCTCGACTGCTTTCCCAGGCCACAAGCAGGGAACTGGATGGGAAGTAGAGCAGCCATAACACAAACTAGCATCCATATGGGATGCCAGCACTTGTATGGGCAGAAATAGCCTATTAAGCCACTGCACCAGACCCAGAAAATGTTTTTAAAGATTTATTTATTTTTATTGGAAAATCAGATATACAGAGATAAAGAGGAAGATCTTCTGTCCGCTGATTCACTTCCCAAGTGGCCACAATGGCCAGAACTGAACTAATCTGAAGCCAGGAACCAGGAGCTTCTTCCAGGTCTCCTATTTGGGTATAGGGTCCCAAGGCTTTGGGCTGTCTTTGATTGCTTTCCCCAGGCCACAAGCAGGGAGCTGAAAAGGAAGTGGAGCAGCTGGGACACGAACCGGCACCCATATGGGATCTTGGCACATTCAAGGTGAGGACTTTAGCCACTAGGCTATCATTCCAGGCCCACAGAAATCATTTTTAAAAAATTGTATGGAGTTCAATTTTTTTGCATAAGTAAATTTATCTTACTACATTTTTTTCACCAAGTTTTAAAAGTACCTCACATATTTATTTTACAGAACTGGCCCACACAATTTTAAGGGCTGACATCTGGTGGCCCTGCCCATCTGAAAGCTCAGGTGCGAGTTGATGTTCCTCTGGAGTCCAGTCTGGAAGGTGGCCAGGAGGCTGAAAAGGCAGCTTCTGTGTTGAATTCTGTGTTGAGGTAGAATTGCTTCTTTTTCTGTAAACCTGCTTTGTTTTTAGAGTATTCAACTGGGTGAAGTCATCAACTGATTGCATGCTAATCACTTGTGCAGGTACCTTTACATGTAGACTGGTGTCTGACTCAACAGCTGGGCACCCTGGACTGGACAAGTAGGCACATAAAAAAATGACCATCCTCAACATCCCAGATTCTGGCTGCTCAAAACCGTGTTAGCCATGGGACTGTAGTGATCTCTAAAGCTGAGTCAATCAATTCTTTGAGGAAAATCTCTCATCTAAAAACCTTTAAGCAAAAAGGAATCTTCTATCTACTGGTTCACATGACTGGGTCACACTGAAGCCAGAAGCCTTAAATACTACCTAGGCTTCCTCCGTGGGTGGCAGGGACCAACTACTCCTTACTGAGTGCTCCAGCAGGAAGCTGGACTTGGAGTGGAGCCAGGACTTCAAACAGTGAAGTCAGGTGATCTTGGAGCTTGTTCGCCTCAGCTGATAATCTGCTGATAACTGACCTTAATGGAACTAGTCACAAGCTGTCTTTAAGCATGTTAGTTTCACTGGGAGGAATTAGAATGGAATTAATATTCCACTAGTCTTTCTGTATGTTCAAATCCTAGTGATATTTCAACTAAACAAAATAAATAAATAAATAAATAAAAACCAAATTCAAAAGGCAGAGTTACAGGGAGAAGTCTTCCATCTGTTGGTTCACTCAGCAAATGGCCACAGCGGTCACAGCTGGACGAGGTAAAGCTAGGAGCTTCACCCACGCCTGCTATGTGGGTGTAGGAACTCCAAACACTTGGGCCATCCTCTGTTGCTACTCTTCCAGGAACCTTAGCAGGGTGAGAACTTGACAGGAGGCTGAGAAGCTGGGACTTGAACCAGCACCCTCAGGATACTCGTCCCCACAGGCTGCAGCTTAACCCACTGTCATAGTACCAATCCAGATCACTATTAACTCTAGTTTTCTACAACACAGGCTAGTGGAGGGATGGTGAGATTCTGCTGATCTCAGCCAGCAGGTGGGACTGCTGTGGGGAAATCTGAGCATTCTCAGCCGTGCAGCCCAGGCCTTAGCTGTGGGTTCCACTCTTCAGAGAAACTGGCCAGGACACAATGCGGAGCTTACCTGGTGACACAATCAAACGATAATCTAAACAGTGACCTAAAGTTTGTCCTTTGCCCAAAGTCACACTTCATATTTCTATATGAAACCTGGTTTTAAACTCAGAAACTCTAGGGAAGTTTAAAGAATGATACAAAGCAGGATGAAAGTGGTCCATTTCAACTTCATGACAAGCACGGACAGGAGATGACAGTGTGGTGTTTCGCAAGTGTGTCTTATTGCAAGAATTACCAGAGGCCTTCCTCTCAGGTGAGATTCTGGCTCGGGGGTGGAAGGTGTGGACGGGAGCTGAGAACCTGCCTTTGAAGCACCACAGGGGATTCTAAACATCAGGTGAGTGTGGAAAGCACTGACCACGGTGAGGCTGGGGGAGGGATAACAGGGACAACACTGCCACAGCTCTGGTCCCAGTATCAAAGACTTCCTGAAAACGAGAAACATTCCATTGAAATTGAGGAGTTATCTATAGAACACTGTTTATTTCAAGTCCAAAACACAAAATTACTCATTTTTCTTAACAGATCACATAATTTGTACTGCATGAATATTTAGGGTTTCCTACTCACAAGTGCAGATTTACTCTTGAAACTTAGGCTCCAATGATTCATATAGGTCAGCCTACTACAGAGGACATGTACTTTTAACAATTGGTTTAGAGGACACTGCACATAAAAACACACAGCATTCATGGACACTCTTCATCTTCACAACCAATCTCTGGCAGAGATGTGCCTCAACATCGTAATTGTCAACACAACATCTGAAGATTGAATAGATCGGAGTAGTTTTACATACTATAACTCACTGCTCTTAAGTTTCCCTTTCTTCCTCAGCTTCTGCATGTATTAAGTGGGTCTTTCTTGAACTGGTAACTTGTTAACTTGCCTTTTTTGTTGCAACTTGCACTCCTCACGAAATCAGATTGGCATAAATAGGGCTTTTTCAACCTAAACATTAAGGATTTAATGCCTATGAGTGAGGTACCCTTTACATTGTTTGTGTCCAGTAACTTCTGTCTGGAGTGCTATCACTTCTAGCATGATCACTTGGCATCAGATTATAAAATAAAAATATGTACATTCTAATATATCGATTCTTACCTGAATAATCTCAGTTCTCTTGAGAATGTTCCACAAAAGTGGAATTTTTTCCAAAAGTTACACTGAAAGTGGTACAATGTGTACAACCTGGTTAACCAGTGCTTGCTTCTTATTTCAAGATTTTTTCTTATCCTGAATCAAATCCACAATCTTACTATTGCATCATAATGCACTGGCAATTTTATATATAAAATCCAACTCGGGCTTATTTTGGTTTATTGTACATGCTTTATTAAAATGGTACTTGTATTTACAGTATCTGCAGAGTTCCTTCCCAGACGCTCTCACACACATTCAGACTCACCCACACAGCCATCCACGTCGCAGTCCCACGCACCCTCACCGGGCAGATGTGAGGATAGCCTCCCGAATTAGGCAGCTGTTGGGGGATAAGAGTTGTTGATTTTTCTTTTCTTCTTTTTTTTTTTTTTGAAAAGAGAAAAGCATGGGGAACGCATTTGGCCAACACAATGCTAATTAAGTTTGTGTATATTAACATATATGGCAGTTAACACTGAATACTCCTTTTACATTCTTCATACACAGAATGATGTCAAGGTTTTGTGGTCAACAGAAAATTCTAACTTCAGTCTCAATGCTGCTTGTAGTGACCTCAGAATTCATATGGGGGTTTCCCTAAAAATAATTCAAGTCTATGTAAGTGAAATAAGGCACAATTAATATTGATCTGACCTAGGGGAAGGGGAGGGAAGAGATAAACAGGTTTCAAATGATTTTACTGTTGGAGAATTAACTGACTTTAAACCCACTTGAAACCTCATCTCCTGATTTACAAAGATTTCTTAGAAGTGTTTTTGTTTTTCCTCCCCTGACAAAGTCCAAACAGAAAAGTTTCGGAATTGATATTTTAACTTCTCTGTAGTCCTAAATACTCAAGCTGATGTGCACACCCACTTTCCCTGCCATGGTCTCCTCCCTTCTCAATGCTAAAATAAAGAACCACGGCACATTAAACAGGCATCCTTTGTGTTTCGAGGAGATCTGTACATTTCAGTAGCAAATACATTTCTGGTTGTCTTTGACATATTTGAAATTAAAAAAAAAATCAAAGAAAAAAAAGAGGAGGGAGGGGAGATTGTGTGACTTTCTTGCTCCTTAAAAAAAAAAAAATCCCTGTCTCCTTTCAGGATGAGGAAGCCCCATCAGACATTACAAATACCTGCCACCACTGGGTCTGGCAGTACAAAGAACGTCTAGTATTCAAATCTTCATAGTGAGATTCAAATTTATCTTGTACACAACCTGTTGAGTGTTTTTTGCAGGAGGTGAATCAAACCCAAAGACGTTGGGCATTCTGTGAAAGGGAGTTAAGAATTGCAGTTCTGAAGGCCCCTGACTTTGGTTGTCCACAAAGTTCAATCCTGTTTATTGTGATCCTTGGTATCTTCTTCATCTGTGTATTCTGATGGTTCTTCTCCTGGTTTTAGCAGTCTGCCCACATAATCGTATTTTTCTGAAAGATACAGCAAAAGTAGTCAGAAACAATGAGCTTTGTTTTCCTGTCCCATTACTCTTGGGAAGAAGGGCTTTTGCCTCTTCTACAATCAAACAGGATCAGTGAAGTTCTTCCTATTGCTTCATCATGCCTGGCTTTTACCCACACATAAACCTGAACAAGTTGAAATGGGACCCCAGACTCCTGAAGACTTGGGAATCACTCTTTGCAATAAGAGTGCTCTGTACCAGTGGTTCTTAGTCGGACAAAACACCAGAATCACTTGGATATCTTGAGAAAAAATATGTCTGTCACAGACCTATCTCAGACCTACACCACCCCTATCTTGGGCCGGGCCTTGAGACTTGTGCCCCTGAAGCTGCTCCAAGGCACGCTGAGAAACCCCACAGTTCTTGAACTCTTACTAGCCCCAAAGTATTCTAAACATGAGCTGGCAACAAAAGGAATTCACAATTATTTAAAATCTATAAATATGTTGCACTTTATGAAGAAGATGAAAACAATTCAAGAGTAATGTTTTGCAGCAGAGTCTGACAAGAGGAAATGGCTTTCTTGGCTCTGAAGAAGGGAGAGTGGGTGGTGGCTGAGGGCACGAGTCACATGGGAGGCAGATCTTCCCGGGAGATCCTCTTGAGGTGATGCCACTAGTCCTCAAATTAATAAACTGAATGAGAAACTAAAAATCCATTTGTTGCTTGTTACTGTGTGTTTCGGGGTCTGTTTGTAATGCCTGTCACACTAGTATTCTTTCCTCTTATCAAACTTTCTTCTTAGATGTGTTAATGTTTAATTTAGAACCTTATTCTTAAGTGATACAGGATTAGTTATTTCTTGATCAAGAATTCAAATGAATTAACCAAGGCTCAGAGAATTAACTGTCAAGGGATTAAGAAAGGTGACTGCTTCATAAAGCAGAAATAACCCAAGTGCCAAGAAGCTACAAGAGCAGTTCCAAGGGATACAGGGGTCAGACAACCAGCTGACACAGTGTTACAAAGGCACTAAACTGATGTCACAAGGGCTTAATACAGGGGAGCAGTGTTTTTTCTTTATCATTTAAGGAAAAGACCAATAAAATCATTTTAGAATAAACTATAGTTGAGCTATCATTAATCATTTACATTTTAAATATAAGCCTTTTGAAAGACTGATTGATTTATTTGAAAGGCAAAGCAATGGAAAGCAAAAGCCAGAAATCTTCCAACTCCTACATGATTGCAACAGAAGAGCTAAAGCCAGGAGCCAGGCAGTCCACCCTGATCTCCCACATGGGTGACACTGGCCCACGTAATCGAACCATCTTCTATAGCCTTTCCACGGGCAACAGCAGGGAGCTAGATTGGAAGGGTAGTAGTTAGGACTCAACCAATACTCTGATAGGGGATGCTGGTGATACCCCTTGTTCTGCTGCATCAACACAGGCCTCATGCTGTGTTTTAAAAACTATATCTTAATCACAAGCCTTTGCAACTATAATTGTCACTTTTTTGTGACATAAGCCGATTTTTACAATTGGACTTAAAAAAATAATTATCACTTATAACTTAATATACATCAATGTTTAAACTAGCAAATAACAATGGCAATGAAAACAGATGACATCTTAGGATTGAAAAGCATGTGAAATGGCATACACTTTCTTTGAACATATATTTAATTTTCCAAAGAATTATAAAAATGAAAGTACCTTTAAATTGCATTTCCCATTCTCGAACACTCTCCATTTGTACTGCATTCAAATCTGAGAGATCATCATATTCATCTCTAAGTGCATCTTTATCTAGGCAAAATGTTGCCAGTCCTCTGGAGGCGTCCCTACCAGCAAATATTCCATATGGTCCCGCTGGAAAAAAAAAAAAGAGTATTTAGACAGTCCAACAATATTTCAATATTTCAGAATATCTCAAAGGCAAACGTCAAACACCAAAACCAAAACACTCCACCCACTATGATTCCTATATGGTACACAGCATTAATTAAACATACATGGACACTAGATGGGACAATGCTGGCACTGTGGCATAGCAGGTACAGCTGCTGCCTACAAGGCTGACAACCCAAACAGGCACTGCTGACAGCCTAGGAGAAGCAGCAGAAGACGGCGAGAGCGCTGGGCCCCTGCGGCTCACACCGGAGACGCAGAGGCTCCTGGCTAAGCTGTGTCCCAGCCCTGGGGAGGGCACAGCAGTTGGAACATCTGTTTCTCCCTCCCTCTCGCTTTCAAATAAACTTAAAAAAACAAACAAACAAAAACCCACAGCAATTTATTTGAAAAGCAGAACTTCATAGAAAAGAGAGTGAAATAAGGAGAGGAAGAGATTCATTCATTTTTACTGGGAAGTCAGATATACAGAGAGGAGGAGAGACAGAGAGAATTATCTTCCATCTGCTAGTTCACTCCCTAAGTGGCTGCAAAGGCCAGAGCTGGGCTGATCTGAAGCCAGGAGCCAGGAGATTCTTCTGGGTCTCCCACGTGGGTGCAGGGTCCCAAGGCTTTGGGCCATCCTCCACTGCTTTCCCAGGCCACAGACATGGAGCTGAAAGGGAAGTAGAGCAGCCAGGATACAAACCAGAGCCCTTATGGGATCCGAGGTTTTTTTTTTTTAAAGATGTATTTATTTTTATTGGGAAGGCAGATTTTCAGAAAAGAGAGACAGAAAAGCTTTGCACCTTCTGGTTCACTCCTCAAATGGCCAGAACTGATAATCCAAAGCCAGGGGCCAGGAACTTCTGGGTCTCCCACACAGGCACAGGGTCCAAGGCTTTGGGCCATCCCCTTCTGATTTCCTAGGCCATAAGAGGGAGTAGATGGGAAGCAGAACAGCTGGGACACAAATTGGCACCCATACAGGATGCCGGAGCTTGCAATGTAAGGATTAGCCACTGAGCCATCAAGCCAGGCTCAAGATTCTGATCTTCTAAATAGATTCACTATGGCATGAAAACTCTCTGCTCAAATACACAATCAAGAGAATACTTCAGTTGTTTGAAACACAGTAATAAGCAATAAATCGAAAATAATCTAATATTCTTTATCAAGATATTGGTTAAATACGTTACACTACAATGAAAATCAGGTAATCCTGGATATCACACTGAAACAAATCCATTCCATAGTAACTAAACAAAGCGATCAGATGGATGCACATAATTTATTTTGAATTAAAATCATATGCATGGATGCATGCTTAATATTTGTAGATGCATAAAAACCAGCAGGAACAACCAAATACTTAGCACTGGCAACATTTCTGGGGAATGGAAGGAGGAAAATTTACTTCACACAAATGGTAAACTGAGGCTATGAAAAAATGAGCTTTACAATAAAAACCTTACATTTTAAGAATTTACACGAAAGGGAGAAAGACAGAGAGAAGAAAGGGCAGCAGGAGAGGTAGCCACGGGCTGTCTCCATTCGTTGATTCACTCTCCAAGCGCCTGGCACAGTTGGGGTGGGACAAGCTGAAGCCAGAAGCCCAGATTCCGTTTAGGTTTTCCACAAGAGTAGCAGTGGCCCCAGCACTTGGGCCGTCACCTGCTGCCTTGCAGGGCATCTGCTGGCGGATGTGTGCGGACTTGCAGCAGGCACTGCAGCCCGGGGTGCGGGCATCGCACCACTGTGCCCCATGGCCACACTATTATAAACCAAACCTCTCTGTGAACTTTCCTCACCTCCGGCTATAGAGCAGACCAAGCAGACTTTTTTCCCTGTTTGATTTTTAAAGAATTAAGTGCTAATAAGCAAGACTTGCAAAATATAGTTTTTTTTTTAAAAGATTTATTTTTATTATTTTTTTTATTGGAAAGGCGGATATACAGAGAGGAGAGACAGAGAGGAAGGAAGATCTTCCGTCCGATGATTCACTCCCCAAGTGAGCGCAACGGCCGATACTATGCCGATCCGAAGCCAGGAGCCTCCTCCGGGTCTCCCACGCGGGTGCAGGTTCCCAAAGCCTTGGGCCGTCCTTGACTGCTTTCCCGGGCCACAGGCAGGGAGCTGGAAGGGAAACGGGGCTGCAGGGATAGAACCGGCGCCCATATGGGATCCCGGGTGTGCAAGGCGAGGACCTTAACCACTTGCGCCACCGCGCCGGGCCCCCAAAATATAGTTTTATGAAAATATTTACTGCCTGTGTTATCCATGTATATGACAAAGGTCGCTGGAAGAAATAATTTAAAAACCAGTCACTGCCTTCACTGTTGTGAACAACAATCAATAAAGAAGGCTTGCTGCCCTAAAGGAATAAAATATTTTCTAATTGAAGTAGCAAGCAGAAAAAGCTAGAAATTCTTTCTTAAATGTGCAGAGAAATGATTATATCAATAGTTATTTTTGAAAGTGTTTAGAAAGTCAAAAGTTGGGCCCGGCATGGTAGCCTAGCGGCTAAATCATCGCCTTACATGTGCTGGGATCCCATAAGGGTGCTGGTTCATATCCTGGCAGCTCCACTTCCCATCCAGCTCCCTGCATGTGGCCTGGGAAAGCAGTAGAGGATGGCCCAAAGCCTTGGACCCTGCACCTTTGTGGGAGACTCAGAAGAATCTCCTGGTTCCTGGCTTTGGATCAGCTTAGCACTGTAGCCATTTGGGGAGTGAATCAGCATATGGAAGATCTTTCTACCTCCTGTTCTCCCTTTAAATCTGCCTTTCCAATAAAGTAAATAAATCTTAAAAAAGAAATAATAAAGTCAAATGTTATATATTAAAAAGTATCTGTACCTTTTAAAGCCAGAAATCAGTTTCATTTAAGACAAAAATCTAAGCACTTATGCACATTAATTACAATTAACACTGTACCATAAATTTCACAAGATGTCAGAGATTCTTTATAAAGTTTATAGCATGGTTCAACAAGTGGCATTGCCAGTAATTTTGAAATTAATGCCATTACTGACACATTACCATGCCAATAAAGGTAATACTTAAAGTACCTCTAAATCTTCTTTCTTCTCATTCTTAAATATTTATCACTTAATAATTTATATATTTTCTCTCAATGGATATACTCATAATTTGGCCATTCTCTTATTACTATAAACTTAGGCTATTTTATTTTGTCATACTTACAAATGTACCACTGGGATACAATTTGCCCTCGGCCACCATTTGTAGCTTTCAAACTTTGCTCATCATCTCAACTAACATTCAAATATGTCTTGGGCATTTGGAAAACAACTGAATATTATCTTTACTTGCAGTATGAAATAAAAGTTCATTATGTGGGAGAGGATTACAATTTGGGGAAATGATAATTTCTAAAGCAAGAATGGCCAACCCTAAAGTGAGTGGTCTATTTTAAACAATTTTTATTTTTAAAATTTCTGATTAGTTAATATTTAGTTCGTAGCTACCATTTCTGTGAGTTGCCTTTTTTTTCTTCAGAACTCTACATGCTTTGTTAAAGGTGATCAAAGATAAACTCATCTAAAGAGGAACTGGTACGATTTCTACGAACTGATAGAGAAACAAGGACTACCAAAAAGAAAAACATCTGTAAATACTGCTATATAACCTCCTAATAACGACAGGACTGTGCTTCAAACAGAGACCATGCAGAAGGAAACACATAGCAGGAAAAATAAAACCTAGCAATGCTGTCAAACCTACATGCGCTTTCTTTCTAAAACATCTGAGCAATTCTTTCTGAAGAATTTCCCAGCCACCTCACGTTCCTCTCAGCATTTCGCAAAGTTGAAGGAACAGATTTTGCCTTCCCCACTTGGCAGATGAAAACTAGGAGCAGAGGCCACTGGCGACTTACAGAAGGGCCCGCACCATTCCCACTGTTCTAACTGCAGCACTCCCTCGTTACCTGAGGGCTTCAAAGACCCACAAGCCCGAAGGTGGAATGACAGCCCTCAACACTGGAGAAGGCCGCCAAGCACACAATCCCAGGGGCCTGGAAATGTTACAATACTGAAGCCAAAAGAGAATGAACAGTGAAGCTGGAGGCCACAGTAGCTTTCGTGCCATTTGGTCTTCTCCAGTAAATGTCCCTGTCAACTTTCGGAAGTAGCAACACTGAATAAATGTAAAGTGACAGAGACATAGCCCCTATTCCCTAACCTGGAGTGTAGCTGTCTTTTCTTCAAGTTCAGAATTTCCCTCAAGAAACATTTAATTTATGAAATGCCCTTTCGATAAAGAATATAACATGAGGCACTAGAGTTTCAAATGGAAAGGGTGTCAAGTAAGGAGATTTTGGAGTTTCATAAAATGACTTCCCCGCATCTGTAATATAACCACAAGCGGTATCAAGGAGTACACAGTATCTTCCCATTCCACTACCCCCTTCCATAGCCAACATTAGTGTTCCCAAGTGACAATTACACTTGGCTATCCACAATACTAAAACAACAGGTAACTTCCCAAACAAAGCAAAGCTGAAATAATATTAAGTCTGTGGGATCGTATAATCAATGGAAAAAGGATACATTATATAAATTAATCTGGCTTTTATAATGAAGGCTCATTTAGACATTAATATAATATTGATACAATAGATTCACAATTTAAAAAAATTAATAGCATTATTCAAAGCAGAGCCTCTTGTTTTATACAATAAACGCTATAGGACATAATTTTAAAGATAATTTTATTTTAAATACACAGCACTATATACCAAAATAACACCATATTATTTAAAACACAGATGTTATAATTGGTTGATTTAAAATCAACCCAACTTGTTAAGATTTTTAAAAGTTCAAAAATCAATTAAACCTACTGTTTCTTATATACTAAAATGGCTTACTTTAATTCAAAAAGGCAACGTATGTTCATTGAAGAACAGTGTGTTAAGAGTAATTTAACGTGGAGTTGGCATAGAGGATTTAGCTGCCA